ACACACACACACACACACACACACACACACACACACACACACACACACACACACACACACACACACACACACACACACACACACACACACACACACACACACACGTTCTGTGATATCAGCAGGTGACAGGGAGGAGATGGGGTCACCTTTAAGTCCTTATTATGGAATTAAAAACTTCAAGATACAACTTTATTGAATGCATGCTGGTATTGCCTCTAACTAAACCACCACCAACAGAGTGCTTTTAAATAGCCATAAATGACCTTTTCGCAGTAAAACAACAGCAATAAATGAAAATGTGTTGTATCTGAATACTGAATAGATATCTGAACCTCATCACAGTATATTTCTGCTCACTGTTTATCCCTCCTGTTCTCTGTCAGCGCTCCTATGTCGTAGCTTTAAAAGATAAAGCTGTAAAAAGTCAACACTTCTACCCATATAAACATTCAAACTAATCAATAATAATGCATTATTCTTGAAATAGCAAATTTGGTCGCCTAGACTGATCGATCTGTTCTCCATTCAGAAAACCTTTAAAGTGTTTTACCTGACTCTTCCAGACACACTTGGTGTCAGCATGTTGTTATTGAAGCTTCATTTTGATTACAATTAAATCACTGCATGTTCATTATGTTGTTGTTGATCTACATGGAGATAAGCCCCGCCTCCTAGCCAGAGCGTCCAGTTTGAGTGACGCTAAACACAAATGTTGCCGTGGTCAAACTCGCGTGAGTAATTTAATGCGTTTTTAGCTAGATGATGACTCCATGACGGGGTCAAACCTCCAAACACTTCATCTCTTCAACTTCCTGTTTTGGTTTGAATTTGACTGCTCTTTGCTAAATGGACTGCGATAGTGTACAGGGCTCGACATTAAGGACTGCCCGATGGCCCGGGGCCATCTAGTATTTACCTTGGGCCATGAAGCCTCACCTGCTGGTTGCCCGAGTCGGGCAATCTATTATGCCNCAGGGCTCGACATTAAGGACTGCCCGATGGCCCGGGGCCATCTAGTATTTACCTTGGGCAATGAAGCCTCACCTGCTGGTTGCCCGATCGGGCAATCTATTATGCCAGTATCATGCAGCTCGCGGATCAGTAATGAGTGACCCGACAGTAAAACTAAACATATCT